TAATTTTTTTAAAACCGTCCATCCTCTCTGCCGCACCCTGTATAACACGTAGAATCTTAGCATTATCGCAAAATGTAATATTAGCGTCGTATGGTATTGCGGTACATTTTGATCGATTGATGCGGATACATTGTCTATTACAATACGTTAACAGGTTATCAAGATCTAGGTTGATTTTATATGATGCTTTATGTAAGTTGGATTCATTAAAACGATATGTTGTGTGTTGTCAGCATACATTTGAATGTAACAATGTTCTACACACTCATGCAGATCAAACGTGTATACTAGGAGTAAAAGAGGACCCAGTACTAAACCCTGAGGAACTTCTCATGAAACAAACTGCACATCAGAAGTTTATCTAGATGTTTTCACTTTTTAGGTGCGATTTGCTACACAACGTTCTTGAAAAAGTTTTGGAGCAGACACACGTCCGCTCTTCACAAAGCTTTGGGTCCAGATACACTTTCACAAAAAGTTTTCTCTTGCCCCCTCCACCTGCAAAAATTTGTTTCACCAATAGGGAGCTCAAACTTTTTTTTATATACCGAAGCGGCCGCTCAGGCAAAAGCGTAAATGCTGGGATATCACGGCTGCTATAATGATTCCAAAGAAATTTTGTTAATTCGATTTTTGAACTGCCTAAGGTTAGTAGATCTGGAAAAAGCTTCCTCTTGTAGATTGTTCCACAGTCTCGACACCCTCTGGACAAAGGAGCGGTCGTATCGTCCAGTTCTGAATGTACGAAGTTTGACATGGTTAGGATGGGAGGCCCAAGTCAGGTGGGTCTGCCTGGCAGGCACATCGCGAGGCGGCGTCTTGGCTGGTGTAGCGGTAGAAGAGAGCTAGATCGCCGACGGCCCGCCGGTGCGAAAAGGTCCCGAGACTGTCTGTTAGAAAAGATTCATCGATCATTCGGACAGCCCTCCTCTGGGCAGCATCGAGCATAAATAATGACTGGAAGTTGCACCACGACAACGCCCCGGCTCACACCGCCATTCTTGTGAACAGCTACCTGACCAAGGCCGGCATCCCAACGCTTCCGCAGCCGCCCTACAGCCCAGATGTGGCCCCCCTGGACTTTTTTTTGTTTCCTCGCCTGAAAAGGCCGATGAAAGGCAAGCATTTTGAGACGACAGAGGGGATCCAAGCAGCATGCACCGCGGTCAGGATGTGCAAGTATTTTGGTGACGGCTGAGGAGGTCGTTCCACTCCGGTTGTTGAATCTCAGCCCCCAGCCTGTCATACTGAAGAAAGGATCTGTCGTTGGTACCTGTTCATCAGTGGCATCGATTATCCATCATTCCGAGCAGAAGAGCAAAGGTAGCAGCTGCCTTCAGGAGATGATTCAAGTAGCCTGTGAAGGTGTTTCCTCGGGTCAAGCTTCAAAGGTGTATGAACTCGTTAACCAATGCCGAGACATCTTCGGTGATGAAGACTCCAACCCAGGGTGGAATAAGATTGACACAGGTGATGCAAGGCCAGTCCGTCAAGCTGCCAGAAGACTGCCGGAGGCGAAGCGAGCGGAAGCTTTTCAGATAATCTAGCAGATGGAGGAAGAATGCCATCCATTAGCCCGTGGGCATCACTTGAGATGCTGGTGAAGGAGAAGGATGAGAGTACTCATTTCTGCGTTGGTTAGCGTCGTTTGAACGTCACCCCGAAGGAAAGCCATTCGTTGTCACGCATCGATGACACGGTGAGTTCTGTATCTGCGTATGTCTTCTTCTCGACGCTGATTTTGAAGAGTGATACTGGCAAGTAGAGATGGACCCTTCTGACCGAGAGAAGACTGCCTTGACAATAGAACATGGATTCCGGCATGTCGCCATAATGCTTTTTATGCTTCGGATGTTCTGGTTGACAGCCTTATCAGCCGACTTGAAGTCTCAATAAAGCTACTCTCTGAACAGGGCAGGATTTTCGAAGGCGAGTTCTTCAAAAGACTTTGCGAGGAGTTGGGCATCCGCAAGACCACAACTATGGCGCTGCACCCCCATTCGGTAGGGCTGGTGGAAAGGGTGAACCGGACCACCGAAGAGTATCTGTCAAAAGTGGTGTCCAGACAACCAGCGTAATTCAAACAGGCATCTCCCCATTTTCCTGATGGCCTATCGGGCTGTTTACCCGTACATTTGCCTTTCAAACTGAATGTTAGCGAAATGTTATCGATACGCGTACTCATGCCTATCTAAGCGCATAGCCTGGCGAATCAGTCCGGCTTATACAGGGTGTTCCATAATTATTGCGACAAAATGATAGGGGTTGTAGAGGGCATCAAAATGAACAATTTTTCCTTATAAACCCCTGTTCGGAAATATGCCGTTTGGGCTGCAGCAAAAAAAAAGATCAGTTTCTTGAAACAGCTTACCTACAGTAATTGCTCAAAGTGTCCTCCACCTTGCTCAATACACAGCTGTGCATGATTGTTCAATGATCGGCGAACTCTGTGGCATACCCCCGGTATGTCCTGAACATGTGCGGACGCGGCCATCACTCTTCCCAGTAGCTCTTGTTGGTTGGGAACAGGAGTTTCGTACACTAAAGCTTTCAGATAGCTCCAGATAAAATAATCCAGTGTGGTCAGGTCAAGTGACCGCGCAGGCCAAGGCACAGGGCCACCTCGGCCTATCCACCTATTTGGAAATTTGTCGTCCAAATACTGCCGCACTTGTAAAGAAAAGTGGGCTGGACCGCCATGGTGTTGAAACCACATGTTGGCTCTTATATTCAGTGGCACATTTTGTAATAGTTCCGGTAGCACATGCTGTAAGGATCGACCATAAGCATGCCCATCCAAACGTGGTGGAAGCAGATATGGCCCGATGATATGCTCGTCCACAATGCCGCACCAGATGTTAATTGAAAACTGATGTTGGTCTCTATGGATGGCTATGGCATGAGGGTTTTCTTCATCCCAAATGTGACTGTTATGGCTATTAAAATAACCGTCCTTTGTAAAACAGGACTCGTCAGTGAACAAAACGTAGCGACCAAAGTTTGGTTGCCTCAACTCCTGCTGCAGCCACCAACGGCAAAAACGTCGACGCGGCAGATAGTCTGCTGGACCCATGGCTTGGACTTTTAAAAGGTGGTACGGGTGTACGATAACAAAAATGTAAACACAGCAGGCTTTTTTTACAAACCGGTGAGACCATGAAATGTGCTAGACGAACATTTTGCGGCTGGTGAATTTTTTGTTTCTCCTATGAGCTCTTAAGGTAAAATTAACTGTAGTGCTCAAACGGCATATTTACGAACAGGGGTTTATAAGGCAAAATTGCATATTTTTATGCCCTCTACAACCCCTATCATTTTGTCGCAATAATTATGGAACACCCTGTATATGTATCCCTACTGAAGCGCAACAAATATACGGACCTTGCACGAAACGAAAGATAACTTGCTGAAGCGATGCCGCGCAGATGTGGACAGGTTCAATGTTGCCACATCGTCGGTAGCTACCCAGTAGGGTAGAGAAATAATGTTATGCTGTTTGATTTACTTAATACGTTTAATTCCTCTGTTGTCATGTCCGTAACTCAATTTTTTCTCAGAGGACCTAAATTGCGCTGAACTTAATCCTTTATGAACGGCGTTGCCTAGGAAGTGCAGAGTCAACCCACTTGACGCCATTTCTTAGTCAAAATAACATCATTTATCACGTCAAAGAAATAGAAAAGCTTGGAATTTCAAGATCATCCGTACCTCAATTGTTTCTTCATACACCACAATATATTCAACAGTTTTTTAAATTTTTCTCTTAGTAATAAAAATTGGCTAAAACCTGGGTCTAGCTAAGGTTTCTTCTGCGAATATTTCCAAACCTCTGTATCCGTGATCTGACGAAAATTGTTTCCTTGGATAAATCGGATACGTATATTCAGAATCCGATGAAAGTTTGACATTAGGACCCATGGAGGGTGCCAAACGACACGCTTTTCACCGCACATTTGGCCCCACGACACTTTAACATTAGTTTGCGGTCATATTCGTATGCAGCGCTCTAAATTCCCTACAACAGCTCCGCCACTGTAGAAATTGAAGGCACACCTCCTACCGTTGTAACTCGTATAACCCCATGATAGATACAACATGAAGTTCCTGAACGTTGAATGACAAACGTAGGTGGCGCTATCGTAACATGCAGCACAGGGTTGCCATATTAAAGAATTTTCCCCCCAATCTGAAAATGTTTCCTCCTTTCGGGAATTTTTGGGTATAAAATGTTCTGGGGGAAAAATAATATACTTGGGGTATTTTATTCCATTTTTAACCACACAAATTTGTACACTTGTAAATTACAATTAACAATCAGTAGCTTTTTCTTTACCCATGGTCGCACTCGCACTTATCTACCTATCAAAACAAAACACCTGCAATGTTATTTGTTAGTTGGTAGACCTGTATTCACAGTCATGGAACAAAAAAAAATCAGCCAGAATAGTAAGATGAGAACCGGTCGGCTGATCTAGCGTTTTTCCAGAGACAGAACTATAGATGATGACCCATCTTCTCCGCGATGTTTCAACAATTTGCTCATCTTGTAAATTCACTGTTCTGCGTTTCCATAATCCTGAAATGGTGAATGCGCTTATCGTTTTGAGTTCATGCACAGCCATGGCACAAGAATATTACTATTTTACTTCAATGCCGAGTTCCCAGAGTATTTTTATAGAAAAAATTCAATTGCAAACTGATCTGAGTCGGGTAATTCTCCCGCGTAAGGCACTAGAATATAATGGGTTAGGGGACTACTTACAGGTTTTACAAAAAGCTTCTGTTTTTGCAAAGTTATGAATTACATATCCCGTGGACAGAAAGCATCCCCCCGGTTTTCGAAGCAAACCTACGCCTTCCCATTAATGTAGTGTGATGTGGGAGGGATTTTTTGAAAAAGTTGGGATTCTGGGAGATTTTTGTGCTTGTCCTGGGGGAATTCTGTCTGATCAATCTGGCAACGCTGTTGCAGCAAATCGTGTTGTGTTTTGTGTGTGATGTGGTTATTGTGTTTTGTGGTTGCAAACTTGAAAGGTTTAGAAAACATAACCAAAAACAAAAAAGCCAGAAAATGAATCTAAAAGAAAAAACAATTCCTGTACCAAAAATGAATGCAACTAACTTGTATGTAACCACAACACAAATTATAATGAAATCCGATCCAAAAAATCCTAATTCCTGGCAAGATCTCTACAGGCTGGTGCCGTATCTGAGAAACTCTTTATGTTGTGTTGTGTGTTCATATTTACTAGTGGACCCCCTGACACCCACGATAGCTCAGTGTCAACATCATCTATGTAGATCTTGTAAAGGAGGCAGGAAGAAAATCAAACCAGCTTGTGAAGGATGTAAAGAGTGCAATGACTATACAGACAACAAAAGATTACGAATACTACTGCAATGTTATAAGAAAATGTGCCTATCTTTGATAAATTCACCACTGTTCAACAGTATTAATATACAAGCTTCACATCCGGGGAATGGTTTTGAAAGAGGGGCCAGCAATTTAATCCATTTGATAAAGGAAGGAGCCTGTTTTGCAGCCGAGTATACCAGTAATGGAGGTTTGCCGAAGTCAGCTTATTCAATATTGCCTTGTGTATATACTAATTCATCCATTATTCAAAGCAATCAGTCTCGGCCAACAAATAATGATAATAGGAATGCTTTATTGAATTCTAATGTACAAAATAAGTCGTTTTATTCTGTTTTGTATCCTGGGAGTGGTAGTAAAATTACCCTTAAGAGGAAGCAAAAAGATACTGCAACTTCTTCAACTAAAGCTCATTTTACACCTACAAGGCAAAAAGAATTTACAGAGAAGGTATGTATAGAATATAAAACTTAATATATTGCAACTTTCTGAAATACATTGATTTATGCAATTTTGTTAAATAGCTAATAAAAGTTGTTTTCAAATAACATATTACTTTCCATTTAAAAACTTTTGGGTGTAAACCTTATTAGGGATACAAACAATTGTGTTTGAGGATAAATATGCTTGATATTTTTAGGCATTGTTCAAGAAACCATGTAATGTTAAACCAAAAAAAGGCTGCAGATGTGGTAATGCAACAGCCACTCCTGGCAAATTGACATGTTGTGGGCAAAGATGTCCTTGTTATGTTGACAGTAAGGCCTGTTTAGAGTGCAAATGCAGAGGGTGTAGAAATCCACATAGAGTTGATGGCCAAAAGGTAAGAATTTAGAGAAAAAACATTCAATAAACCTTTGCTAAACCTATACATGTCAAAGTATACTCTACTTCATGTTTTTTTTTAAGGTAATGCCTCATATACCAGAATTACAACAGATTCAAATAGTATCATCAACACAACCACCAGTATTAGCACCAGATATACAAGATGTGAAGATAGAAGGATTTGACTTGGATACGTCATTTACCACATTTGATCAAATTGGTCTGGATCAGAACTTTAAAACCTACAAATGTAAGTTAATTGAATATTTTTTAATTCATTATTTATTATGAAGTCTAAACCAAGGGTTTTGAGTCTCACTCTATGGAGATTAAGAAAAAAATGTACATGATTGATTGTTTTTATTATTTTTCTTTTCAGTTGTTGGGGGGTATAATGCCATGCCTTTATCATCAGATTTAATCCCTCTTGGTTTCACTGAGGAGGACATGGAATTATCAGTGGTATGATCTTTGGAGAATTCTCTATTGTTTGGCTCAGACAATGAGATATTATCATCCAGTGATGCTTTCTGAGATTTATTCTACTTAATCCTTACAGGTTATTATTCCTATATTATGCTTCTAACTGATCTTTTCTGTTAGGTGTTTAGTTTTTGCTTCATGTATTTTTGTTTCCTAAGCTTCTGAATATTTAGATATGGGTATAACAATAATCAATAAAAATACTGTCATTTGTGTTGATGATGAACTAGTTTTCCAAAAAGGTTTAGAGTCCATGAAGGGGTCGGTCTGCCCTGAAAATAACTCAAATTTCAAGATGATCTGATCTATAAAATTTTTGCGTTAAGTAGTATAGAATGTATGAATTTTAAACTGTCATCAAACATTTATCTTTTTATTTTAGTACTAGATCGTACTTTAAAATCCATTTTTTTCCAAATGCACACATTTTTTGATATCCAACTTAATATTTTTATATGAACATAAGGTTGCAACACTTCCCACTTCACATCTATAATGAAACACACTGTGACATAAAAACGTGTATATAAAGCGAAAGTGTTGGGGCACTGTAATCGCAATAAAAACAAGTGAATTCTCATTATTATTGTGTATTCATCTGTTTCATTTATTTTTATTGTATGTGCAATGCTGAAACACTTTCATTCTTACACACTGAAAATCAAATATCGCTGACGTTGTAATGTGTAAGAGAGAGAAGCGTGCAAAACGTCTGTTAGAAAGAGATAGAAGCATCTCGTTGCCTAGCAACCCGAGTACAAGGTCACGGATGGCATCGGCGCACTCTTTCTAACATACTGCACGCTTCTCTCTCGTACACTTTACGACGTCAGCCAAATTTTCAAAGGAGTTTCATTTGAATACCGCTAGATGAAGCATCAATCAGCTTGAAAGAACAAAGGAACAGTGATATAGGTAGGATTGAATTTGCCTCTCATATTCGATCCTGAAAGTTGGTTGGCACATTAATTTGTTAGGTCTGCTCCACGGAATGGAGATGCGGGTTCGAATCCTGCCGGTGCCCATTTTTCCTTTCTCTCAAGGTGTTTAGCATAATTATACAGGGTATTGGGACTTTCCTTTTCAGAGTCAACTGCGTTTGCAGTACCAAAACTAGTTTGCGGCAAAACAACACCAAAAATGTAATAAATAAATTAAGGAAAAATATGCACTATTAATTTGCTTTTCGATTCAAAGACAGGAGTTTCATTACATGTTTATACATTTGCAACATTTGGGGCTAAGTCTTCAACCGTGTTCAACCAGACGGCCTTTGCAAGATATAAACAAACATATGCAGCTCTGATGGAAAGAAGCATCGGGGACGATGGCGACGTTCTGAATACAATCGTGGGGAATCAATAGGATCTTGAAGATGCTCATATCAAATCAATAACTACGGTATTGCTCTAGGAATGTGCCAATTTCGGTTTTTCCGACGCGGCTTGTGTATAAACTATATTAACCTAGACACGACGCGACGTCTGATTTGGATATTGACTCATATAGTATTAGTACATCATACGTTTTTACGTAGGAAGGGGGGGGGGGGGTTGGCAGGGTCATACTGGCGAATTTATTGCTTTTTGGAACCTAATATCTCGGTTATCTTAAAGATTTGGTATATATGTTACTAAAAAATGCTTATTACTCTGTAAAGGAAAGTCTCAATGTTGAGGACCATGTATGTGATACTTTGTAAAGATGTATGGGAGTAAAAATCATTCTGGGACAATAAAACTAAGGGAATAGTGACAGATCAGAGATGCATAGATATTACAAATAGTTTTCACGTCATTGAACCTATAATTATTATTTTTGTTTTTAGAAAGTAAAGGGTAAAGAGTTTTTTTCTGTTTTTAATGATTCGACGGTGGGTTAATTTGGTTATTCTACCTCATAGTATTTGACAGTTTCTACTGTGTTGTTATATATCACTATTTCAGAAACATGCTTAAAACAATACCGGTTGCTTTTGAAGGGATCAGTTAGACGTAACAGCTAAGTGTCTCCAAAGCCAGGTTCTGGCTTGATTATTTTATTTAGATGATTGAATATAGTTACGTTTGGCATATTTTTCTGAAAGATTGGCTTTGGAGATTGGCTTAGAATATTTTACCATGCATTTGAGTATGTTCCATTTTATTTTGATGACTGATTCGCATAAGAGAATGAGTCGTATATTGAAAAAACTGTGTTATATTTTTAGTTTTTATTTATGTCATGAAGAATACTTCTTGCAGTATGGTATAATTTATTTTAATTACTGTAAATAAGTTTTAGGTATCTCATAAAGGCTGATCTATTTTCTTGTATCAAAGATAGTGATAATAGTGTGTAAAAATTATTACTTTATACTAAAGTAATACCTATTTTTCATAATGAATATTGTATTGTAGGCTGTCTATGTTTGTATGCCTATGCTGCTTTCTCAAACAATTATTATTTTTTTTTATATTCATTATAATTGGATAAGCAACATCTTTTACTTTTTTGCTTATTTTTACGTCAAAATCAGATTTTAGGTTTACTTTTCTTTATACTGTATGTTAGTGATAAGCATGTATTCAACTATATACCTCATTAGTAATGTCTATTACCTCGTTTTTTTGAGGTTCTGTACTCTGAGGAAGAGCAATATCAATATGTGATGAAAAAAAATCATCTGCACTTCTATTTTTGTCTGGTAAAAAATAATGACTAGAATATGAAATAGATAGTGTTCAAACAAGTCAATATGAAAATTTTCAAATTTGTTTTTGTTTGGGATGGCAGTTTATGGAGAAAATAAGAATCGAATATTGACTATTTTTTGATGTGCTGCAATTTTTTTTTTCGATATCGTAAGTCTAGTTATATTTTTTATAAAACATTTTTTTATAAAGTTTAGTCACGATTTGGTTGCATTACACCATTTTTTTCCAAAACAGGAAAATGTAATAATCGATATCAATAAATGTTCTTTTCTACAGTGGCCTTGGAATTTTCGTATTTTCAGTCTATCCCTACAAAAATGACCTAAAATCACTCTCAGCTCTGAACGATTGAAGACAATTCAAAATACTACACAATAGTCGTGTGACTGAAAATTAACTAAAGCCGCATTAGCAAAGCAAAACGAAACGATAATCGCAAATAAAACTAAAAATTTGATGATGAAAGTTTTTATTGTAACTGTAAACGTGAAATGTCTTTAATCATATATCTATAAATCTTAAATCTAGAACAGATAACAGGTACATACTCTACCCGCAAAGAAATCGCATTAGGTGAATAAAAAATGATGATGCACCTGCCAAGAATTGGGCCAGCTTGTCAAATTTTGAGACAGGGACAAGTGGTTCAAACTTGAGCTTCACCAAAAGTCGCAAAACAACATTTGTGACATATAGTTGTAAACTCGAGTTAAATAGAAGAAATACTCAATTGGTTTGCAGAGATCATGAACGATTTGGCACAAAAAATATTTTCAAATAATCTAGGTTCGATATGATACAGCATGTTAATAATCAAAATCTTTACAAAACGTTTATCAAAATTAAACTACCATCACCAGTATTGACTACACATCATTGCATTAAAAGGTAAAATAAATACCAGCAAATAGTTAAGAACACAACTTAGAACGGCTTATATGCTACAGGAAATTTAGAAGGAAAGCATCTCTTCAAATGATTAGCAACATGTTGCCAGCCTAACTTCTCACTATACTCTATGATCCTTTTCTCTATTTCATCACTGGGCTTGTCTTCTTGCAACTTCAATGTATACTTCATCAACCTACCATAGTTGTTATTGATATATGCGTGCCAAACTGCGAAATATGCCACGTGGCTTGGCACCACCTGAAAAGCCGCAAGTATTGTTTCAAGAACTATAGTTTTTTTAAGAATGATAATAACAAAGGTATTGAAAAATGCCGGCCTACACATTTGTTTCTTCATGATATTGCGAGTGTACCTCTAGAAACAAATGTGAATTCTAGTCTCTCCAATATCGACAATTATTTCTATTCACAGCACCATGTAAACAGAACGTACACTTATCCGACAAACAAATATTAAATAACAGATTGGCATTGTTGATTAAACGTTGGGACATTAATTCGCAAAACTCCAACCGTCTTCATTAAGCTCATGAACAAGTTTCAACTTGTACGGGTAAAATGTATTGTCTTTAAACATTACTTGTACTGTTGAATGTGTAAATCCTGAAGAAATAGCCAGTCCACGAGTGCTTTAAGTTTTGTGAAGTGCTACGTGTCCCAAAACTGCTATTTCTGCGGCTTCACTTCTAACTGGTCGACTTTCTCGATGACGATTACGGCACAGATCCAGTTTCTTCAAATGTTCTTATCAACTTAGCCACATACTTATCGTTAATATTTTGTCTGGATGTAACGCATTAAACAACCGGGCAGTAGCTCTTGCAATGCTCCCATTATGGTAAGTTTTACTTCTACCCTTTCTTGAATTGAGTAAGTCATTGTTCAATACTTATCACAACAAGGTTGGTAACTCAACAATTTGAAATGAGATTGATATGCTAAATTTTCTTTCTGGTATTATTTTTGCCGTATATTCTATTATTATCAGTATTAAGTTAGCCGAATTTTATTATGAATTCAAATAGCTTCACAACAATTGAAGATATAAAATTTATTGTACAAAAGTTACTAAAAATTTCTTGGAAAATCTACAAATTAAAAAAAGATGGGGGTTTCCATTTAAAACTCTAAAGTTTAATGCAATATGTAATTTTTGGACTACCCTGTATCATATTCTATAGATGAAAAGACCCTATAAATCAAAATTGACGTGTCCGAGTTTTTCCCAAAATATACCAGGAGAGTCACAAATAGGCGTGCGACCTTTTCGTTGGGCCACCCTGTATAAAAAATGACATCAAGTAGATTGACTATATACTTCCTACGCCTTCGTATTAGGTTTCAAGTAAAAAGAATGAGTCAAATCAAACCATATTTAAGAGAACGTCTAACAGTATAAATGATTTTAAAAGTAATGTTTGGATCAGCTGCAGCTGTCTGTAAAATTGAAAGAAAGTCATTTAATTCGTTTGGAACAAGGAATCTGTGGTTTAGGCAATATTAGTGATATCTGCACTGTACTTCTAAGGGTCGTCGCACATTTGCCCATTGTCGTCTCTTGACATCCTTGAAGTGCTCAGAAAATTAACAAATGCGTACCTTGGCGTCACTTGGATCAATGAATTTGACCAAGGATTTCCAAATTTCTGGAATTTCTTCATCTTTTTCTTCTTCGTTGGTGGTTTTCAGGCGACACAGAGCAATGCCTTTTCTTGACAAGCATTCTATATAGACATTCTTTTGCTGTTCCATTACACTGAAATTAATCATGAAATGTTACGTCAAAAGATAAAAATATTGAAACTGATTATTTTTAAAAGACAAGTCGCATTCCTCTTCATATTTTTGTCTGTCAACAATGTACAAGTTTGGGGCCTGATAATCATACTTAGTGACATCAGAAGTGTTTCACTCTGAAAAAATAATTTCTTTTTGGCAATGAGGTAGTCTTATATCAAGAATGAAACGATAACATTCTCACGAAATTTTATTGACAAGTAAAAAGAAAAAAAATAATGGGTTGAGCGACCCCCCAGCTATATACACTCCTGTGTACGTCTAGGCATCGACAAAATGAGATGATCGATGTCTGCTTGTGACACCTCATTCCAAGCAACTCGAACTTTGTGGATTAGCTGTGGCGGAAGGTGTAAATTGGATAGTATCCTCCCCATCATGTCCCACACATGTTCCATGGGATTTAAATCCGATGAACGGAGTAGTCACGGCAAAACATTAACGTCTGCTTCTTGAAGAAAGTCCGTAGTACGACGAGCAATATGATGACGTGCGTTGTCTTGCTGAAAAAGGACGTGTACATGCCTCTCAACAGCAAATCCAATATCATGCCGTTCTCCACGGCGACGTCTTACCCTTCTACGACCATCGTGCGTACCTAGACAGAATCGCGATTCGCGGCTGAAGATGCCATTCTGTCTCCCAATGTTGCCGTTTTCTGCTCCAGTTCAAACGTTGATGACAGTGGTCTGCAATAGTAACAGGTATACCTTCTTCTCCAAACCATTGGTCACCGATCTGACGCGTAGTAGCAAAACGGTCTCGTGGGTCTAGTTATCTGAAGCGCCGATCTTGACACTCTATGGTACGCCTCGGTGGACCAGTTGGCCTTCTTCGTGTTCCTCTACCTTCTTCTATCCACACACGCATTGCCGGCACTGTAGTATAATTAACACGGCGGCCAATGTCGCGATAGAACAAACCAACATCTCGATAGGCAATAATTCTACCCCTGTCTTAGTCGCTAACATAGTGATAATTTGGACGTCTTCGAACTCGAGGCATTTTGTTATGCTTAACACTAGTAAAAGAAAGGGAAATAACTCATAGCTCATAGCCCCTCCAGACTCACGGCGAGAACCCTAGCAGCGTCAATGTGATCCGTTGCTCACCCACTTCTCACCGTGAATTTGCGCGAGAGGCAAGAAGGTGTCTACACGCGAATGTGATACTCTTCTCTTTTCTCACCGGAGACATCCTTTGACTCGGGCCAAAATACCGCCACCGATCGGAGAACAGGCGAGCGCGAGAGTGAGACGGGTGAGTAACAGGTCACATTCACGCTGCTCGGGGGTTCTCGCTGTGAGTCTGGAGGGGCTATGAGATAACACTTTAACAAAGGTAAACAAAAAAAAAAGATAAAATGTTGACATTGTTGTCACAGCATGCTATAAATATAGTCATTATGTTGTGTAACACTTCTAATGTCATTGAGTATATCTGACATGAGTCTCTCCAGTTTGACACTTTTGATCAGTAGGGCAAAATCACGGATTTCGGAGAAAATTCGCCGAAAACTCATTCCCCGTAAGGAACAAGCCTCGTCCTTTTCCAATACCTTTTAATTTTGTTAGCATCATTCCTTAAATCAGTCTTGGTAGCCATGTAAGCCAAAATAGATTCTTCATTGACACTCTCTATAACATTATTACAAATTGAAATAACTGCATTGAGGTCTTCAGGCTTACAAGTATGGGAAGACCCAGGAAGTATTTTCTTGTCCAATGGATCAATCACTTGCAAATAGGCCGAGTGGATCAGACAGTGATCAGGGTATTGCTTGGCTAACTCTTCGTACATTGCTGGAACAATCGTGGAATCTAAAAATGAAGATATATTTTAATTACCAAATGCTAATCACGTCGCTTTGACAAATTTATACCGATTTTTGACAGCCATTGGGTTTTCAAGTCTCTCAGTGCTTCATTGTATTCCTCTAGCTTAGTTTTGTCGGAAGTACCACCATTATTAGCTTTCTTTGTACTGATTCCATCCATCAGAATATATTTAATAGGATAGACATCCGCCTTTTTGCCAAATTCATCTTTAGCATAACTTATAGTACCCGTTAAATAGTGGGCATGATTGTTCGATTTTAGCTGGAATCTATAGATAACGGAGTTATTATAGCTTGATCTATTAACAAAATATGTTGTTAAAAAACTCAAGTTTGTTATGTGCAAAGGTTAGTTACTTTAGCTTTTGAAAAATGGAGTCTAGTAGATACACTAAAACTGCTGGAAGTAAAACTTATTCTTATTTATTTCATCCTGTAATTGACTGTAGCTGTTGGGTGTTGGGAATAAATAAATAAAAAACAAGATTATTAAACTTACTTGTCTGAAGCCAGGGGAGCAATATACAAAGGTATAGCAGCATAAGGGTTCGAGTTAAAAGTTACGCCAGCCTTTTTACCACCAATAAGTGCTTGTGAATACGAGAGATACGTATCTAATGCGATAGCAGCGTTCAATTTTTGATTTAGAAGCATGGGCGCTTCATTAATTTTTTCAAGATATTCCTTTTTGTCGTGTCTTACTTGCAATCGAAGGGTATATTCACCTTTCTCCAATTTTATCGAATACTGAAAAAAGTTGAGAAAATACAACCACCTCAAAAACATTGAAAAATTGAAAATTACCTTGGAAGGATAAGCATCACCACATCCCATAAGTTGTTTATTGGAGTCGTATAACAACCAAAATTGTGACTCGTACTCCGATTCATACAACATATCACTGAGCAGCGCCAAATTTGGCGATACTTCACACTGTTTGGCTAGCGTGAAATTGTATACTAGGACCAGCTCGTATATCTGCCTGTTTGGAGGTATTATGTCCCTAGACGTTAGAGGGGCAATTTTGTGCTCTGCAGGTCTGCAAAAAGGTCCTATTTGATCATGCTTTGTTTATACAGGGTCTGATACAAAGGCCGGACGGTTTTTCAAAAATCACAAAATCGGTAATTTTTACTCAAAAATCAACTTATTGCGGATTCGGGTTGACAATGAAATAGCGAATGTCACAATGTAGAAAATCACATCAGTCATATGATGACCGTTTTTGACGATGCATTGCTGGAGGTGTTCTTGAAAGTTCGCGTAGACTCTCTCCAACATCGTTCTCTCAACTTGAGCGACTTCCACGCGAGTTGCCTCCTTCAACTCTTACAGAGTTCGGAGCTTGTGCTCGTACATGCATAAGAGCCTTGAGGTAGCCCCATATGAAAAAATCGCAGAAGGATAAATCTGGTGACCGAGGAGGCCAATTAACATCAGCGAACCTGGAAATAAGGCGACCACGGAAGAGAGGGCAAATATAGTTCATCGTCGCTCTGGCTGTGTGCGCGGTCGCCCCATCCTGTTGGAACCACACACGTCGGAATGGAACACGTCGTCGTCGTAATTCACGTGAAAAGAAGTTGGTGACCATTTCGACATAGCGCTCCGAGTTCATAGTAACAGCATTGACATTACCGTCTTCGAAGAAGTAAGGGCAGATGATGCAAGTTTGCGATACAGCGCACAAAACCGTCAATTTTGGAGTGTGCAGTGGTCTTTCATGTAGCTGTCGCATATTTTTATTAGCCCAATAACGGCAATTCTGCTGGTTAACTATGCCATTAAGATGAAAGTGAGCTTCATCACTCATCAACAAAATGAGGTTCTCATCCATCTCACGTGAGAAGTAACTGTTGCACAATGGCCAATTTGCAGGGGTGGAAGTGGAGTTCCATATGCAAAATACGCCTTATCGAACGATCACTGATGCGAAGTTCAACAGCATGTTCCCAAGCAGATCGAGCCGGACTGCGAAGGCGGGCTTGTCGAACGAGGTTCACATTTTCAGGGGTTCCAACTGTTCATGAAGCTCCTGGTGGTCTTTTGTTGATCAGTACACCACGTGTGCAAAGTGACTGAACCCAACGAAGGTGTTTCGAGAAGGAACAGCTCGATTTCGAGGAAACTCACGCTGTACATTATGTCGGACAAAACTGTCGTTCGCGAAAACGCAGTGCTCTACCGTCCACTGCTCCATAATGTCTACCGGTAAAAATGCTAGGAACGCTCAAGTCGAACGACACTCTCCCCACCACTCTCGCCCGAATAGGCGGCGAGTACTAGCCATTTCAAAAACATCCGTCCTTTGTGTCGGACCCTGTATAACTAATAATATCAAGTTACACTATTTTAGTCTGATATTCTAAAAAAAATCGTAAACAAAAGATTATTTATAGTCATTATTTTCGAATTTCAGTATGTCCATTGAAATTGTATTACAATTTCTGCTTGTTTTTATTACTCGGAACTTCGACCATCACCACTGGGATCTCGAAAATAAGCTAACTAGTGTTTTCGTATAGTAGTGGTTAAAGTCAAAACTAGAGTAAAATAGCTACTTGTTAAAACACTACATAAAAAAATTAAAACAAAAGCGAATTGCTTACTGATTCGGAAAATTTAAAAACGTATTTATAGAGTAAAAACATTTCTCATTTAAACGCTTAAAAACCTTATTTTTAAATTTGACATAGCTCTCTATATCTCGAGCTAGAGTATTTGAATGCAGTCCTTGAGAAAAAATAAAGTTGATGCTGTAGGACAATAGACGAAACGTCATATTGAATTCCGATACAAATAAAGGCAGAAAACATTAAAACGATTTTGCGAAAATTCCATTTTTCTGTCTCTCCGGAAGTACTTTGAATTTCGAAACTTTCTAAGCGACATTTTGTTGGTTACCTAAATACGCAACTTTGTGATACACCCGGTATATGAATAATATGTTACTTAAGAGAGACATTTAAATATGTACACTGTACGGAAATATATTCAAGGTGTTTTTAAAGTTGAGCCATTTATTTTAAATGCTTGTAGGGCGCGTCAAAGGAGTTGATATACCAAAATCACCTATATAAAAGTTGCATAATAAAAAAATAGTAAAAGATTAAACATTTAAAAAATAAGAATGTTATTACATTGTTTACGACAACAAGGATCTATTGAACATAATACTAACATACGGAAAGTGCCAACAAAATGCATGTCCTTTAACGCTGCTGTCCTGTTCGGGTCTATTTGACCCAAAGAAGAAACTTATTTCATTTTTCAAAATGTCCATTCTTCACAATCATAATGGCGTTTGGTGGCTTTGTTACTAACTATGAGTTATTTATTTGGCCAAAGAATAAAAACAATCACTCTTTGTTCAAAAAGGAAAAATTAAATTGTTACATTTGTACTGCTCGGGTCAATATGACCCGCTAGATCTGCAAGATAAATTACGCGCGGCGGTAGTGTGAACGAAGCCTAACATTTATAACTGGCGTCACCGAGTTTTCGCGAAAATAAACGAATAGTGTGGACACTGTCGGCCTGTGCAGTTTTGCGTTTATTTGATCAGTAGATAAATAGTTTGATATCGAACTCCCATTGACTGATAGTGAATTGCTTGCGCTGGTGGAAGTTTCCGAGAGTGATGGGAGTATATCAGAATTAGAAGACCATACAAGCAATGAGAGTGAAGAAGAAAGTTCTGAAGATGATTTGGTTCCAGTGCTCGCGAATAATCCTACAAGATCTAATGCAACAATGGGCTCAAAAGATGGTAAAATACAATGGTCGATGGATTCTCCGTCACAATCCGGTCGTATCCGTAATCCGTAATCCGCTGTAAGTTTTGCCCATCAAAAAATGACAATAAAACTAATATTTTATGTTGTATTTGCCGTAAACATATTTGTAAAGTGCATAGCAGTTGTTATTGTCCTATTTGTAAACAAAACTAAAATAACATTTTTGTATTCATTTGCATTTTTTTATGAGATTTTTTCTTTCTTACTGGTTTAAATACAATGTTATTTTGTAAAACATGCATTTGTTAATAAATACATTTTGGTTTAAATAATATTATTTTACACAGGACAGCAGGGTTAAGAAATCATCCGGCCCTACAGATGTTTGTTGAACAACGAGGAGGTCACGATGGAAGACCAGCTCAAGCTGATGTTAGAAATTGAGGAAGACATTTCAAAAATGGTAGGAGACGACCCAACAATGAGTACAAGAGCCATAGCAGCTCAAGTTGAAGTATCTCACAGTAAAGTGTGGAAGACAATACGACAAGAACAGTATTATCATTATCAACAAGTACAAGCGTTACAACCTGAAGATCATCCTAAAGGAGTTGCATTTTGCCGCCAGTGGCTTTTAGAACAGTCCGGCAGAAATGAAGATTTTACGAAATTAATTTTGTGTATAAACGAGGCCACTTTTACACGAAATGGAGTGCACAATTTCCACAACATTCATGTTCCACCTCGACTGACTGGTGAAGTTTATTTAGATTTTCTTCCACACAATCTGCCACAATTATTACAAGATGTTCCTCTATATGTGAGAGAATATGTGATTCCTACATAATAGGGCTCCACCATATTTTAGAGGAGAAGTTCATGAACATCTAAATAATGAGATTCCGAATAAATGTATAGGGCGCAATGGACACATTTCTTGGCCTGCTAGCTCCCCAGATTTAACGCCTTGCGATTTTTTCTGTGGGGCTATTTGAAAGAGTTGGTGTGTCATGATGGAGCAGTAAATACTCTGGAAGAAATTCAACGGCGCACTGATAATGGTTGTGATTTAATTCGTTGACACCAGGATTTTATTTTCGAAGCTTGTAGAGAGTCGTGGATTCGCCGATCAAGATTCTGCGTTAATTGAACAAATGGGGACAATTTTGAACAGATTTTGTAAAAACGGTATCCATTTAACTTGATAGTGATTTATATAAATAATTTTTAATAATGTAAACTAACTCTCATCATGCAACTTTTAGGTAATTTTTTGTATATCAACTTCTTTTGACGAGTTCTACAAGCCGTTAAAATAAGTCACTCAACTTTGAAAACACCCTGTATAGATACAAGTCGCACTAAGACATCCCTCCTAAAATGTGTTTAAACACTGAATACAAAGATAATGTAGAACAAACTTACCTTAGCACCTGGACGGACGTCTTGAGGTTTACTGAAGGGGCAATATCCTCTCCTTGCAAAGTTTTCACCTCCACTGTATGTATGCCGTCTGCAGCATGCATAGTGATACAAGGTTGGTTTGGTTTCACCCCACTGAATGACAGAGAAAAATCCAGATTTGCTTCTCCTAAGTTAGCCCAATATTTTGCTATGACTAGCTCCAGAATCAAATCTCCTTTCACGGGGAAGCAAACGAATGCGTCTGATTTTGAAGTAACAGGTACTGTTTTGTTCATTTCTAATGCCTTGCAGTGTTGCCTGGGGACCACTTGGAGTGTGTGGATGACAAATCTTCCATTATCATCATCAGAAGTTAGTTTCAAGACGGCCCAAGTAGCCATGTTTGGTACTGTATAATAATGTCTCTTGATCGTGTTTGGTTTAAAATTAACTTTATTATAATTAACCACATGCTTTGCTTTAGTCACTTCCTTTGGTTGAATAACGGTTATAGGTATTTTGAATACTGGCCCTTTCTCCACGCATTTTACGTCATATGCGTTGATGAAAGTGACGTAAAGTCCCTCGCTTAACGAAGACGTATCTATAGTTACAGCAAACATTCGAACTACGTTGGATAAGTCCAAGTGACTTGGACAACTCACGAAGGTCGCACTGCAAGTCAGAACGAATTTTTGGTTATAGTAGATCTTCTTTTCGGGATCTACATTCTCGGAGTCTAAGAAATGAGGTTCGACGGATATTTTGAACGTTTGTACTGGGTTGTGCACCTTAGATCTCATGTATATGCCTTTGGAATTTGAAGATCCACATTGAACCTGGAATCTGACATTCAATTCAGGTTCATTACTATAATTCACTAAATGGTCAAATGCTTTTTCAACTTGGATCAGTCCTTTACCCTGTGCTGGTATCTCAACACCCTCTAGGAAGGTAGCTGTATTTTCTAAAGCTCGTCGGATACTGTATGGTGAGTATGGCAAGTTTTGCTGCAATAGACCTGAGATCAAAACGGATACTACTCCCGCTGCGTGAGGAGAAGCCATCGAGGTACCATTCATCAACTGAGAGTACCTCAATGTAAAGTTAGGAACTGATGTTATAGCACCCCCTGGTGCGCATATGTGAACACCTACACCTCCATCGATGGTAGGTCCTCTGGAAGACCAAGTATACGGGGAACCTAGAAAACATATCACAAGTAAGTACAGGGTGCGGCAGTCAAACCCGAAAAAGCGCGTGAGCCAAGAAAGTGGGTGGGGCGAGTTGTCAAGGTTACCGTTGTGTTCGCCCGTTAAAAGCATTTCAGTAGCCATGGAACAGTGGTCTAAGCAAGAACGCCCCTTCGCCGTGAAGGCATTTTATCAAAGCCACTCAACACCGCTTCCGTGTTCACTTCCAAATTAATCGTAATCGGACTTCTGTTAACTCAATAAAGCTATAGGTAAAAAACTTTGAAAACATCGGTGAAACGAGAGATAGAAGAGGTGGCAGTGCGAGATCAGTGAGAACTCCTGCGAATATTGAACGTGTAAGAATCGCTATGAAAATAAGTCCTTGAACATCAGCGCGTCCACACAGTACTGGGCTTAGTATTTCAGACAGGAGTCTCCGAAGGAACTTGAAGTTAGATTTACACTATCACCCCTACAAAATTCAAGTGGTTCAGGCTCTAAATGAAAACGATTTCGCTGTTCGACGGCACTTTTGTGAAATGATGGAAGAAAACGACGAACTTCACACGTTGCTCTGGATGAGCGACGAGGCGCATTTCCATCTCTCCTGCTCCAGAGACAGTTCTTTGGAATGAGACCGGAAGGACATTCTGTGGCTTCGCTTCAACTCCAAAACATCACCCAAATTTATTTGCTGCCTTTATCGCTCTATCTCGGACCATAACTGGGATGACCTACTTGAATACCTCGCCGTCAAGATCGACTTCCTAAACATCAATCACCCCGCTTCTGATGCAGTTCTTCTCGGTGAATTCAATGCCCATAATGTGCTTTGGTTGGGCTCAAATAAGACCGATGCAGCAGGTCGTGCAGTCGAAGCGTTCGCTCTTACTCAAGGGCTGACCCAGCTGGTGACGAGCCCTACTTTTTCCTCCCGCATCTCGTCACATGCCAGTAGCCTGCTGGATGTCTTTCTGACCATGCATCCTGTCCCTTAGAGCACTGCCGTCCTGCCGTTCCTGGGTAACTCAGACCACGGTGTTTTGGAGGTTAGGTATCGGTGAGAACCCGCACAAACTCGCCACCACTTACGTGGACGCCCCCCGGGCCAACTCTAAGAAAATGGACTTATCATTTGTGCTCTATTTCCTTATAATGGAATTTACACACAGTAAAAAAATACATGCGGAAAGTGATCCAAACAAACCCACAATCACATACCTGGTAATTTTTGTCTCATGCAATATTCAGCTATCATCATTTCTGGAGAAACATAAGCTCCAACGCTTATGATTGGTTCATTACTGATGTCTGATGGTGTACTTATAGTTCCTAGAGCAGGTCCGTTATTGCCCGCAGAGGATACCCAAACAACTCCATATTTATTCACAATTTCATTTACGAGATCTCCGATTCTCCTGATAAATTTGCAATAATACAAAATCCGATTATTTTTGTGGAATGTAATTATTTAATGTATTATATGCAGATTCAATTACTAAATGTTGAAAATATTCACTTTTGTACCATTTATATGAATTTCGTTATGAGCAAATTATATTAAAATAATAAAATTATGTGGATTATAAAAACTAAGGAAAAGGCAGTAAGTTTGTTTTTGAAGAGTATAAAAGCAGTAAATTACACGTCACTTTTTGATTTACGACAATTAAAGGACGTAATGTCATTTAGGCCTCGACAACAATATTATGAGTATGACTTTTAAAGTCATGTAATGTAATATTCGTTCACTTTTGTTCTGTCGTATAATACTATTTATTTAATTCGAAAGAATCCAGAATTTTGAACTCGATTGAACTTTGATTTTTACACTTTATAATAATAATAAATCCGACTTTATTTATACAAAGTATAAAAAGGCGAAGTGTCGCTAAGAAAGCGTTTTTTAACTTAACTTAATAAATATTTATGTAGATTTTCTAATACGCGAGTTGTCTCAAAAATAAGTCTCACATTTTTTGCATGCACAAAAATTTTTATTTGAAAAAACGAATTTACCATTGGAAACGTTGATCTTTAAGCTATTTTTCTACATATTACGATTTTTTTTCATGTGAAAGCCAGTTTTTCACTCCCGCTTTGACGAAGTCAGCCGCCAGTCCGCTTGAAAACTTGGTAACTGCTCCTTGAACCGGCTGTGAGGGGATGGGCAATGACTTCCTCTGCGCATTGTCGTAGTGCAGTCTTACGCTTTGGAGGGTTTTCCTCTACAACGATTTTGGATTGTCCGTCTCAGCTTTTTCAAAAACTTCGAGGAATTTCAACCGCTTGTTCCTGGATCATGATTCGCCGATATTCGAGAGAAGATTTGCTCAATCTTCGCGATAACCTCCTTGGAGATCGACGGAATCCCGCTTCGTTGCTCATCGTGGATGTCCATGCGGCCGTCAAAGAGCTCTCGTCACCATTTGAGGACATGTTGAATGTTTATACACGTTTCCCACATGCTTACTCAACCGGCGATGAATTTCCATGGGCGGTAACGTTTTTGCGTGCAAAAATCGGATGACCGCACGAATTCTGCATCTGGCGGTGACGGCGATGAAGGGCTCAATTGCGCATGGCTGTCAGGCCAGTACCGAGCGTCGCCAATAGGCGCTTCTTGTTGGGATCGGTGGTGGGGGGAGCCGACAAACACGACGGTGTTGCCAGATTTCACCTAGCACCACGCTCGGCAAAGTTAAAGCTTTGGGAACCATATTTTTGAGACAACCCTCGTATTAATGAAAGCAAGCAAGAAAAAATCTGCATTGAGTCCCTAGTCATGGCCATGCTTCAATCTTTTTTTGAAATTGTTTATAGGATGAGTTGTATCGCAGTATATGTATGTGTACGATCTTTTAAATAGAGATGTTGAATGTCTATAAATAACCAAGAAAGGCTTATTGTTTGTATTCAGTTGATTAATATCTGAGTATCTGACAAATTTGGTTGACATGTATGCCTTTTACCTAAATAAGTCAGCATAGTTGATAATGAAAAAATTATATATGTACATACCTCAGTGGAGAAGGCCGTGGCGCGTGAGGATATAAAAGTGCTCGGCATGCTTCTCTACGAAGGTATGTTATGTACAATTATTTATTTTTCATACCCTGCATCAACCCAATGTGCATGTTCGCCATAACTCATGTTGATGACATGGATGTTCATCTTCTTTTTGAGCTCTGTTATTTTGATCATAGCTCTTATCAGTGCTGTACCCGTTTCCATGGATCCCAGTCTACCATCCCCTATAGTCAGTGACACTATCTGGGCTCCTGGGGCTACACCATTTTGCTCTGGAGAGTCGGGAAAATACCCCGATGCTATTGAGGCTACATGCGTCCCATGGCTTGCTAAATTAAACAAAACATATTTAATCTAACATGTGAAATTTTTCCTGTGGTTTACATGTCGATAATTCCTCTTGCTTGTCCGGCCAATAAAACCACATCCATTGGAAGATCTTTACTGTAGTATATGTAAAGGTAACCTTCTTCAGTACAATATATTTCAAAGTTGAGTCATTTATATTAACAGCGTATAGAACAAAAGAAGTTGATATACCAAAAATCACCGATATAAAAGTTGCTTAATAAGCGAGTTAGTTTAAATTATTAAAAATTATTTGAATAAATCACTATCAAGTTAAATGGATACGATAATATCTACGAATTAAGTCACCAGCATTTTTGCGCTGTTGAAGTTCTTCCAGAGTATTTACTGCTTCATCATGATTCACCAACTGTTTCAAATAGCCCCAAAGAAAAAAAAATGCAAGGCGTTAATTCTGGGGAGTGAGCAGGCCAAGAAATGTGTCCATTGCGCCCTATCACTCTATTCGGAAACTCATTATTTAGATGTTTATGAACTTCTCGTCTGAAATGTGGTCGATGCTCATCATGTGGGAACACATTTAGAGGAACTTATAATAATTGTGGCAGATTGTGTCGAAGAACATCTAAACAAATTTTACTGGTCAGTCGAGGTGGAAAAAAGTGGGGCCCAATAAGCATGCCATTGACCACGCCAGACCAAACATTTAATGAAAATCCGTGTTGAAAATGAGGTCTTTTTACAGCATCAAGATTTTTTAGTGCCCAAACATGATTGTTGTGGAAATTGTGCACTTCATTTCGTGTAAATGTGGCCTCGTCTGTACACAAAATTAGTTTCGTAAAATTTTCATTTCTGTTGAACTGTTCTAAAAGCCACTAGGAAAATCCAACTCTTCTAAGATGATCTTCAAGCTGTAACTCTTGTACCCGTTGATAATGATAAGGATAATACTGTTCTTGCCATATTGTCTTTACTATGAGAAACTTCAACTTCAGCTGCTATGGCTCTAGTACTCATTGTTGGATCATCTTCACAAATTTCTAAAATATCTTCCTCAATTTGTAACATTTCAGGTAGAGCAGGTCTTCCAGCATGACCTCCTCGTTGTTCTTTTAAATATCCTGTGTCACGAAGTCTAATAACTAAATTTACAAACATATTACATTCACTAGTTCATTGTTTTCTTAAACTTGAGTCATTTTTTCGCGCAAAATAATCAGACAAATGAAAGTATACGCACTATTAAGAGACTCATACAACTGATCGAACCAAAGACTCGCACTGAATACCATACAATAACCCTAACTTCAATAACCCATGAGAGTAGTAAACAAAAAACGCTAAGATTTTACACAGCAGTGGTCGAGAATATAAAAAAATCTGTAATATCATTCTTATTTTTTAAAATTTTTAATCTTTTACTATTTCTTTAATTATGCAACTTTTATATCGGTGATTTTCGGTATATAAACTCCTGACGAGTCATACAAGCAGTTAAAATAAATGACCCAAGTTTGAAAACACTTGATTCATCTGTCTTGCAGGTAACAATTTGTTTTTTTCATCATAACATTCCTATACAGTGTGTTACTAAAATAGTCTGAAAGTTATCATTCCGAATTTTAAGATGGTACCACGCAAAACCAGTATAGCCCAGGACCACCTGGGGTAGGCATTCCCATTCCCAAACAAGAACGTAGAGCCCTCCAAAACGAAAGGTGAATATGAGGCTATCTTTCAATTTTTAATGTACCAGGTATGTCACCCTCCTTGGTTTTTTCGGGAAGTACAAAATAAATCCGTAAGATACAAAAAACGAACAAAATACGGCTCTGCCGACATAGCGTTGACGAATCCGTCAGAACTGTGTGTCACTTGTCAATATGGGGAATTTCGAAATATTACTAGATAGTTAGCAGTTAATCTACTGCAATGGATACTTGTGAAAAAGAAAGTAGGCATGTTACCTTGACCTTGAAGTCACAGTCAACAGTACAATTTTTGGCTCCTTCCAATTAAAAAAATTTTAAGGCCAAAGTGGGATGACCTTTCTGAAACCTTTGACTTATTTTTTTTTTTCAAAAAAGAAAAAGGGTACTTACAGCATACTCCAACCAGTTCAAGTACATTTCCCCCATCATGTACATTAATACTGAAGTTCATCTTATCCTGTTTAGTTAAAGGCTCATATTGATGAGTGATGCTGTATTCTCCTATCAAAGGACATTTTGATAAGTCTCCATCTTCAGATGTGTCCACACAACACACCCACTTGTCTCCATCATGAAAAAGTATACAGTCATATACAGGACCTGGATCATTATACTTCTTTTCATAGTTCACTAGTATGTCAAGTTTAGCATCCAAATTTTCTTTTTCCATTTTTTCTGCACTGGTAAAGATAGCATCTGAAAACAGCACATTCATGTTGGAATTTTTTAATTACAAACATGGATACTTTATGCTGTATAGAAAGGATTTTTACTTGTTATGAAACAAGAAATAATTTTCAAAAATCCTTGTGTATCTGTGATTTGAATGAAAACCAATTTCCTGAGTAAATCAGATGCGCAGATTTGGAATCCAATGTAAATTTTTTGCTGATATTTTTTGTTGTAGGATGAGAGGAGAACCTGTCAATGACGACGAATATCTTGCAGCCAATAAATAGTCAGTCATATTAGCAAATTTCTCCGAAATAATTGTACGGTCGGGTTTTATTGATGCAAGTTGTTCAAAGGTGTATTTAAAACATGGAGGCATAAAATGGGTACACCAATTTTTGTGGAACTTTTTATTCAACAACAAAGAATGAGCAAACGAATTTTTTGGGATTCACTCGAAGGTGTTGCCAGGAACCAAAAAACTCTTCAAATAACATTTTTAGGTATTTATGAGACCTACGTAAAAAGATCCGACTAATAGCCAAAAAGTTATGGCCGAAAACCAAGGCAAAATGCAGGTTCTGGCACTTGTTGCTAATGCGACGATAATTTCACGTAGCTACTTGAAATAACCACAACACAATTAGAGTCAATTGGTTAAGTAGTATTTGAGAATTTCTAATCGTTTATCCGAAAACACCTGTCTTTCAGCCATCACTACTAGTTTGTTGAGTAATTATACAGAGTTTGTCCAAAGGGCATTTTATAGCAAAATACACGAATTTACCTTTCCAAAGTGAATCTCAAACCATTACCACAGATGATTGCTATTTTTATGCGAAAAACGAAGAGTTACATTTTTTTCTTATCATCACATTCAAACATTTCACATATGTAAGTAACAACATATTCGCTACGATATTCGAAAAACATACGTTATTATACACATTTTAAAACAAAGCGAATGTGTCTACCACATTTAATTACTAAGAAAACACTAGAGCTATTTTTACACGGTCACAGATGAACCTTAAAAATTATAAAAAGTAATATTCCATACTGAAATGCGCTGAACTGTTTATGAGGTGAGCACGAAAACTGAAGACACAATTATGTTTCAAACTGTCTTAGACTAGTTACTATGTAGCATGCGCTAAATGGCTGCATTATTGATGACTGCATGACTTTGTCAAATAAGTAGGTCACATAATCCAGTTTCTTTATGAAGAAATTTAATTCAATAGACTTTTTTTTCTTAAACTATTAATATAGTGTACGTCTGTTTTCTGCGCATTCAAAATGTTAGAAAATAAACTCGAGAAAACGAAAAAACAGTCGACAAATATCAACCAATTGTAGTGAACTGACCCTCATAAAAATAACAATTATATATATATAACACCTGCATTTTGACTCAGTTTGCAACCATAACTTTTTTAGTATTAGTCGGATATTTTTATGTGTGGTCTCATTTTGTAGGTCTCTTAAAAACCTAAAAATATTATTTTAAGAGTTTTTTCATGCCAACACTTTTGACTGGATTCCAAAAAACCAGGCTTCTCACTCTTTGTTGTTGAACAAAAAGTTTTCTCACAGAAATTGGTGTACCCATTTTATGTGCCCATGTTTTAAATACCTCCTTGAACAACTTGCATCAATAAAACTAGACTTTACAATTATTTCACATACCAGGGGTATGTTTCATCTAATATGATTAGACTACAAAGAGAAAGTAAACTACCCATCTGTAAAGCTTCTCTGGAAGTTTTATTTGCTTGTGGCTACAGACTATGAGGATGGAAAATTTGCATGAGAAAGTGGTATAATTATTACAAAAACATGAAACAAAAAACCTAATAAATAATAAAGTTAAATACTCACTATTAGGGTGTTTTTGATCAAACTCTGCAAGTTCCCTACTGATATCACTAACAGCTCTCCGATGATTTTCATCCCAATGTTTCTTTTTATATTCACTCTTAATACGTTCTTTTAACCTATCAGGATATAAGTCAAAAGCATTTTTTTGACCGATTCTATAAGTACCATCAGAATTTTTCCAATGTGAGGGAATCTAGAGAAAGAATGGTCAATGCGTTTGATCATGTCATTTTTATCTTTATCACTTTGCAGCCTACTGGTCTTCTGGGATGAGCACCAATTCATTGTCACTAGACTCATGGTTTTCCATTATGATTATTAGTAGCCTCTGATTTGTTTTGTGGTAATGTCCTATCTTATACGACAATTGAAAGGTCATTTTATATTCACTAGTATTAATAATTCAATTAATTTATAATATAACATGAAAAGATAGACATGGCTACAAAGGGATAAAGGACAAAGATGCCATACAGATCAATGAACAAAAAACGTAAAGAATATTTACCTTCAGTTTCTTCCCAGAAAGGGTTTCAATATAGCCCTCAATTGGGGTAACATTTACAGTGGTTACATCTCCACAACCACTACAGTCAAAACGCTCTATAATCTTAATCTTACCATCAATAGTTTGCTAGAAGGAATATATTGTTAATGGAATGATTAAAACGTATAATACAAATTACTTGTAATCCTGGGGCACCTGGGTCAATACCAGAATCCAAAATAGCTATGACAGTGCCTCTCCCATCATAATTCGGATATTTGTTCAAAAATGAAGTAACTCCAGTTTCCTTTTTTGGTAAGAGGCCCGAGACAGGAAATTCAGTAGTAAGCGGGATATCCTTCATTTTTCCTAAAATCCTGGAATAAGGGATACAAATTCCGGAAAACGAAGCAAAATAGAAGTAAAACACTATTGTACCAAAAAGCTATATAAAAAATAATGCAAGCCCTGACTTTAGACAAACGATAACCAGATCTGTCGTGTTTCGTGTCTTGCGAGTGTCTTCCTTATCCGTGGTCTATGGTTTTGTCAAGTTGTATATGTCTGTGATCTATGCTATGCACCTCGACGTGTAATGTTTCTCCTATCTCTGCAAAAACATGGCGGCAAATGTCATTCGTGTTGCTCCTGGAATTATTCTGATTGGGTGTTCTTTCCGTATATGTTTTGTGATAGAAACTAATCCAATAAAAAAAATAGCTTGTATAGCTGTGGGGTCAAACTCATATGGGCGAATTGGTAACAAAGCAGCGTGTATGTTTTGCGGCAGTGTTGCTGGTGCACAATATGATAACCATGTCGCACCCTCAACAAATGGCGGCTTGTTCATAACTGACATCTGATTGGCTAGATTTAAATGTCTGGCGGGTTCTTCATGCTTTCTGTGCTTTGCAAAAATAACCTTACCGACAAAATAATCAACAGTTGCCGTTGTTAACCGTCAACCCCATAAGGTTGTGAGAATGATGAGAAGTGCAGAGGTTACTTGTGATCTAAGCAAAAGGCACAGCTCTGAAGAATATTTGCAGACCATAACATTTGTAACTCGCCAAAAAATCTCTTATAAAGAGATTTATTCGCGAGATCCCGTAGTGAACCGGAGCGGGAACAGATGGAATTTCCCATTCCTCTCGAAGTTTTGACAGTTTCAAGTTACACCGGGAGTGGTTAGATGGCGCATGTTGCGCAAAATGTTTGCTTCCTTGATAAACTAAGTTGCCTTGTTTGAATCTGAAATAAAATCACCGATCGTTTTTTTGGGTAATGTATTTATATATATATATATATATATATATATATATATATGACACGACAAGTGCGGTTCATATATCTTCGATGACCTTCTCCCTCGTCATTCAAGATCAGGTGGACGTATTCCTCCATTTATGATTTAATAATTTAACTCAATTTTCGGCACTGCGAAGAGAAATTTTCAAATGAGTTGCCTGTTTTTTTAAATGAAATTGACATAAGACCTGTCACCCGCTAGTACATCACAGACGTTATGAGGGTGCCCGTCTGTCCGTTCCATGTGATTTTTTGACATTCGGACTACGTCACATCCGTATCCGTCTTCCCGTATACCCGTTCTTCGCGAAAATTTGAGTATTGAGTAACGGTGGACTCGCGAAAAAATCCTTTAAATTTTGTGGAATAGTATATGTTTTGGGTTAAAAAGTGTTTGTTTTGCCGTTGGATAAAAATATTATTTTTTTTTGTGTAGAAGGTACGTTATGATTTCTTCTTTACAGTCTTAGGGCCATATCGGCAGTACAATTCTTGTAGGAATGTAGGACGCCATTATGGCTTCCTTGATTTTCATAGCTTGCTTTGTGTTTTGTGGCTTTCTAGCTATCTACTCTTCCGCGTCAGCGCTGAATTCTCAGGATAGGTTACAAATATCTATTTGCATCAAATTGTTCATGCTTTTGATTTATATTATGTTATATAGCCTGAAATTTCCTACATTCATGAAAAAATTATAGCCTGACAATCGGAGAGCGCTGATGCTGACACAGAACAGCAGAAATCTAGAAATATTTCGGCGTTTCTGAAGGAGAGGAAAGTTTGAAAATCAAGGAGGCAGTAAAGACCTCCTACAATTATTGTAGGAACGACCGACGATACGGCCCTTATTTATGTGTTTGGTGAGTTTAAAGTATACAATCGAACGTTCTTTTCTCAATGGATATTATCTGCACCATTTGCACAAAGGTTTTTACCCCTAGATTAAAAGTTTATAGTACAAAATGTGGACATGACTAAAGTTGATAAAAAGGTAGAATATTCAAATCCAAAACCTTTTCACATCACTTCTCCTCTTGATTATGAATTTTGCTTTCTAGATCAAAAATATGTCCATTCATCGGATTGTCTTCAACATACAAAACACAATTGGAAATGGTGATTTGCAGGAATTGCTCAATTGCTTGGAATACCAGATGAATAGAATGTTAGATGTGGAAGTCAAACTTGAAGAAAAAAGTTCACTCAAAAAGCAAAATGATCTTGGGTAAGCACTTTATACTACCCCCTATGGGCAGGTACTTATCAATACTACCAGTACAGAGGTATCTATATTTCATATTTTAAAACATGGTAAGACTACACCTTGGTAAAATAATAATAATAATAAATCTTTATTTCAGAATAACAGTGCATGATTACAATGTATTACACACTGTTAGGTGAAATATATGTCACAGTTTCATCGAGACAGGAAAAAGAAAGAGGCAAAACATATAACTTAATAGAAATTTTACATTTCAAAATATTCATTGAAGGTCATATGGTTCTAAGTGCATTAACAATTGATAAATACTCTTTTTATATCTGCCAACCTTTTAATTTCTTGTGGTAACTTATTATATATTTTCATGCAGCTTTAATGGACATTTTTTTCGGTAACCGTGAGATGATGGACTGGATACAGAAGATTTATATTTCTATTTCTTGTGTTATAGTTACTTCGTGAGTTACTGATAAAATTGTCAATATTTTTAAATGTAAAAATTAGAATCTCTTGAATATATATTGCCGCTACAGTTAAAATTTTATTACTCTTAAATTTTCCTCTGCAAGTCTCTCTAGAGGAAATTTTTAGGATGCACCTCAGCACTCGCTTCTGCACTAGAAAGATCCTATTGGTATGGCTACTATGTCTGAAAAAAATTATTCCAAAACGCACAATGGACTCAAAATTCGCGTAATATACCATTTTTAGAGTCTTGAGGTCTAGGTACTTGCTTACTACTCTAATACTATAACATGCATTGTTTAACCTTTTTTCTAGATGTTCTATATGTTTAGCCCAGGAAAGTGCTTGGTCAATATGAACTCCAAAGAATTTTCCACAGTCTGTCAGAGGGACTTCTATTCTTTCTGCTATGGTGATGTTTGTAGCTTTGATTTTTTTTCTTAACTTAAAACCAATCACATTTGTTTTTGAGGTATTCAGAGATAATCCAATATGAGAAAACCACAAAAATGGTTTCTTGCAAAGGCTCAAAGTACTTTCAGCTAAATGGTTGAAATTTTGGCCAGAGACTAGTACACTAGTTTTATTAGCATACTGGATCGTGCATACATTATTTGGTCTTGTAATACTAGCACACAGATTGTTAACAAAAATCAAAAAGTTTAGATATCCTAAGACGCTACCTTGTGGAATACCTCTTTCTACCATTAACTGTTATGAAATGGCTGATATTTCATTCTTTGTAATAAAAACCCTTTGCTTACGATCTGTCAGATAAGACTTAATCCAGTTGCAAGCACTTCTCCTTATCCTGTATGCCTTGAGTTTATTCAATAGTAGGGAATGATCTACACAATCATAAGCTTTGGAGAGATCAAAAAACAGACCCAGCGATATCATATTATTTTCAAGGCATTCTATGATGTGGCTGAAAGAATAGATCTCCATGTTGATGGAACTTCCCTTTTACAAACCCATGTTGTGACTCTGCAATTAAGTTGATCATCACCACTACTCATTTTATTGTTAAGTTTTTTGCCCAGTTCTGCTAGTTCTAGAGCATTAACATATTCTAGTGGCATACATTCGTGCACATGGTCTAAAAAGTCAGAAGAGTTATGTATTGGTGCCTGTGGTAATATTTTAATTACCTCATTAATACAGTATTCATTGAAAACATTTGCTATAACTTCAGGATCAGTTGGAATAACACAGTCATCTCTGTTTTGACCTTTTATTTCCTTTACTATACTTCACACACATTTTGATTTATTATCTGACTCTTGTATATGTCTTCGATATGACTTATATCGGGCATTAGTTAACAATAGATTGTACTCTCTTCTGACTTTGTTATAGCATGGTTTATAGGAATTGTCACTGTTGCTTATAACATATTAAACATCCAGTCGGTCCCTACATTCCTCAATATTATTATCCGTTTCCTGAGAATGATTTGGGTTAGGGAGCCTTTTTGTCACTTTTACTGTTTTTATGGGAAACGATTGGTCAAAAATAGACTGAAATATACTACTTAGATAATTCCATTGTTTGTTTACATCATTCTGAGGAATTTGAAGTAATTTTTGCCAGTTTACAGATCTGAGGCTAGTTAAAAAAAAATCTTTATTTTCTGAACTGAATATCCTTTTCTATATAAAATCACCAAGATTGTGCATATTAACCTTCATTATTATTTTTTGAGCAGTCTGATCTGAGATTTATGAATTAATGATACTAGATACATAAGTTGAGGTATTAAGATGCCATCAGCTGTTTTGGGAACGCCATGTTTTTGGAGTCAGCTCTTATCTCTCTGTAATTTTATCCACCTTGTCTGTCCTGTCTTTATATTTATGATCTTGATTGCCAGTAGTATAACAATTCGCTTGTCATGGGTTATGCTTACCCAAGTTCATCTTTGCTATAAACTATAGTTAGTGCCTGAAGGTACAACTACAATGTCGTTATATTTGTCCCATAAAGTCCTTTAATGTGATATCTATATCAGGGGAGTGAATATGCTAATTAAAAACGCCATCTTCGAATAGTCGCAGTACTGGATTTTGAATGGCTTTACCTTGCTTATTGCATTTCTGTCATCAACTCCTTTTTATTTGATACTTATATCACAGGGCTGACTGCTCCAATTATTATATTTATCTTGTAAAGAGTATTTCAGTTGTGGTGACATGGATCTTTCAAATAAAAAAGAAATCGTTATTATCCCACACAAAGCTGACTGAGCTCAGTATATATATTCATGACCTTTTTGATCCAATTGTTGTTATATTACAATTTAAGGGTCGTGTGCAATAAACATAAAGCACCCAAAAATGTTTGCTCTTGTACTTGGGTTTGTTAAAACTAAAAACTAAATGTCTGAAAAATATATATACTGTATAATTTAGTGAATTGAATTATTATGGGGATGTTAGGAGAAATATTCAGACTATTATAACTAAAGTAAAAGTATGAATGTTAGTGTAAGTAGAATATTATTAATGTTGATGATTTTTCATATCTACAATTTCGTGGTTGGAGCATCTTGGTTGCTGTATAATCCATTTTGTGAGTTCTTTTTTAAATGATCTAATTGGTTTAATTGCTTTTAATGATTCTGGTATGTACAATGTTGGGACGTTACGACATAAGTTCATATAAAGTTTTTTCTCCAAAAATCGCTTCCTTAAATACTGACATTCAAGATATCTAAATAAGACATTTTTTTCAGGAATTGAATGATAGATCTAGATCTGAAGTATCAGAATCACCTACATCTGATGGAATCAGAGGTCGAATCACCAGATCTGCAATTAAAATCAAATGTGGGCCTGGTCGATTTTTGAATGCAAAATATATTTCCTCCAGACATCTTCCTAAGGAAAGTGTAAGTATACTTTCTACATAATTATGTTCTTGCAAAATCTATATTTCGTGAATCCCTATTAGTTGAAGAAAAATGGTGTCGGTAGATTGAATCATTTTTGAAATTTCCTCGCTTGACATGACCTATTATTTTTTATAATCATTATTTTCGGCTCCCATATTGAAAACATCAGCAAAAACAGATCTCTTACAAACCAATAAAAATCTGATGTATATTACAATGGCTCGAGAGGATCCAGAAAGAATGATGTATTTGCTTCTCCAAAGTCATTACAAACATCCTCTAGTACTAGGAAAAATTACCTGTACAAAGAACAAGTGACTAGCACCGCTTCCAAGTGCTCGCACAAAATGTTACGATATTTCTGAAATGTTTGTAAGCCTATCAGAGTAAGTTTTGCCAAAATTCTACTGTCATTATTAGATTCGGCTTGTATGCTACGAGGTACGAGGCAAAGGATAAAATATGTGCCCTCCGCTCACGTACCATGTAGCTGGCCTGGTCATTATACTTACATTACAGTTCTTCCTAAGTGATGTACAAATGCTAGAAGCATCACACATTGAACGCTGGGAACCTGGCGCATTTTTTTATACAAATCCTAAATGCATGCTATCAGCACATTTCTATGGACTACACTTGGTATAACAAACGGGAGACACTGCCAAATTTGACTTTCATAACTAAATTGACTAAACCCAAAATGCTATTTGCATTATCATCTGACCATATACATATTCAAACAGTCCAAAATCGCCATTTAGCATTCATTTTATAACGCCTTAAATATATGGAAACAAGTAGGGGATGTGATAATCCCCCTCAAATTTTTTAGAACTAGAATGTGTTAAAAGGACATTCAATTAATTTTTTTATGGTCAGAGTATCTTGAAATTAATATGAAAAGTTCCTTGAAGCTATAGTTAATGTTATATTAATCCGAAAGTCATGTTTATAAGTTTCAGTAATATATGTGGTTTTATTTTACAGATCTACTAAGGGAAATCATTCAAAATAGTAGTTACTGTTTTTACCCCATTTTGTATATATCTTATTTTTTGACATAATAAATATTTGTTGTTTCAGCGTTTTTAAACTGTTTCTCACTTTACCTTTCCCAAGAGTTCCTCAGCCACCCCCATCAATCACGTGCATGTGGCGCCTTAACGTGTTATGGCCAGATAACAGTTCCACCAGCAACTTTGGTTTGGCTCTATCCAGAGATAAGCAGAAACGTCCATCCTTAGCGCTGGGCCCTACAATGAGTTCCCGTGCCTGTCTAGAGGCACTTATCCATTTCTGAGTGTTGTCTTGCGATTCACTTCTCCGTTTTCCTCATAACTCTTTGCGCGAGTACTCCTAAAGCTGGCTCAGGACCAACGAGCTTGTTGGCCAGAGCGTCCGCCGTCTCATTGCCCCTTATCCCAGCGTGCCCCGGTACCCACATTAACGATACCGGATGCTTCGCCGCGAGACAATTCAGAGCCTCCCTGCATTGCAATACAAGGCTTGAAGTAATCTTACAGGCACTTCGTGCCTTCATTGCAGCCTGGCTGTCGGATAAGATTGTTATCCTTCTCCTAGGCCCACCCTCCTCCAGAATGCGAGATACACAAGCCAGAATCGCAAATATTTCCGCCTGGAAAATAGTGGTGTATCCACCAAGAGGCAGAGATAGCCTAGTTCTGGACCCACAGACCCCAGCGCCAAAGCCCTCTTCTGTGACGGAGCCGTCCGTGTACTAAATCTGCCCACTCACTCTGAGAGTCTCCGGCTACCGGATTCCCACTCCTCCCTCGTTGGATACTTCACATTAAACTTGCGGTTGAAGCGATATTTAGGGGTAACGAGTTCCCCTGCTAAGAAGGACGGGTCCTCCCTTTTACAGTTCGACTAAGATGGCAGTATGCCTCTTGATAGGATTCAAGAAAAACCAGCTGCCCTGACTCCACAGTCGATGAGCGATTACTCTTGCTTCACCGCGGATCACTAGGTCCAACGGTGGGAGATCCAGCAGAGCTTCCGTTGCACCCAATGGCGTTGTTCGCATGGCGCTTGTAATGCTAATACAGGCCAAACACTGAATTTTATTGAGTTTGGCCTTAGTTGTCTCAGTTCCAATGTAAGGCCACCAGACCAGGGAGCCGTACAAGAGAGATGGACGTATTATCGTCGTGTAGAGCCAGTGTACCACTTTAGGTTTCAGCCCCTACCTTACACCGACAACACGTCTACAGGCCCACTGAGTTACGATCCTTCTTAACCTTATATTCAACATGCGCTCTCCAGTTCAATTTGCAGTCCAGGATAATTCCTAGATATTTTACTGATTGGGATAGAACTAATCTAGTCCCGAAGAAGGTCGGGAAGCCCGTGAAGTATTCTTCTCCTAGTGAATAGGATCTTCTCGGTCTTTCCAGCATTGACAGAAAGAGCGACTTCACTACACCACGATTCCACAGAGCGCAGAGTGCCCTGCATAATTTCAGAGACTGTTCTACTAAAACGACCCCTAACTACTGTGCTTAAATCATCAGCACAGGCTTGCATGTAGACACCCGCACTGCTAAGCTTAGCGAGGAGTTCGTTCACCACGAGATACCATAGTAGGGTTGACAGAACTCCGCCATGAGGGCAGCCTCTAGCTACGATGACACTGCAGCTTTACGTCATTCAGCAGAGCTGTTGCTACCCGACCCTCCAGAGTAGAAAGGACCTAATCTACTAGGATTGATCCAACCCCGTACCTAACCAAGGCATGTCTGATAGAGTCGGTTGTAGTGCAATTAAATGCACATTCAATGTCCAAAAAGGACGAGTGCCACTTCTCGCTGATCTAGAGTCTTCTCCAGCCTGCCGACCAGATTGTGTAAGGCCAGATCACTCGATTTCCCAGCTTGGTATGCAAACTGATTGTAATGAATGACGCACCTTTCCAGCGGGCCATCCCTCAAGAATCTATAAACTATCCTTTCCAATGTCTTAAGCACAAAAGATGAAATGGTGATCGGACGAAAGTTCTTCGGGCCAGTATAACTAGCTCTGCCCGGTTTAGGAATAAATACCACTTTAGCCTGCCGCCAGCTTCTAGGTGTGAAGCCCGTGGCCACACATGCTCGAAACATCTTCAGCAGGTGAGGAACAACCGAATTCTGTCCATGCTGTAACATGGCCGGAAATACGACGTCCAGACCTGGACTTTTGTATCGAGCAAACGAATCTTTCGCGCATACCATCCTTTCGAAGGTGACAATCTTCTTGCTATGCGCCAGTCCTCCCCTGAGAGCCTGCATACACTTCATGATTGATCGCGCCACTGTGGAACCGGAAAAGTGCGTATCCATCAGAGTACCTTCATCGGAAGTACGAGTAGTATTACCTTCCGAGGGATCATACAGAGATCCCAGTCTTGCTTTAGTATCTTTGCATAGGACCTTGTGTATTCTAGCAGTAGCAGGAATGTCATTTATGGACTGATAGAAGTTCCTCCAGGATTCTCTGGAGGCCCTTCTAATCTCCTTTTTGTATTCCTGCAACGTCTTCTAGTGGTCTTCCCATTGGGGAGAAGTTCTCCTGTGCTTAACTTGCTAAGAAGTTTGTGCACAGCTTGTTTTCTATCCTCTAACTCTTTGGACCAGAAGGTTGCCTTGCCCTTACCTTGAACTTTGCGTAACGGGCAGTTTTCCTCATATGAATCCATCAAGTTCCTGCTCAGAGACTCTACGGCTGCTTCTATATCAGAGCCCCTACAAATCCCCTTCTATGTGTTATGTATTGTTTGAAATATTTTTACGTTTAATTTGGGAACGCCCCTGTATCCACTGACAATCGCGGATCGCTGAAATGGCTGTAGTCAATCCAAACCAATTCTAATGGATTTTAGAGGATTATTCTAACAATCTATTGAATTCGTTTTCCACGAAAGAACTTGCAAACCCGTATCTGTGATCTGGACAAAGTCTCATTGCCAGAATAAATAAAAAGAATCATGCAACACGCAAATATATTTTCTTGTCACTGAGCTATTTGATTATGGTTGATTGTATTCTATAACTCGGGATATAAGAAAACTATCTTTCGCGGCCATCTAGATAATAGATAGCTGTACAATTGTCGAGATTGATCGAAGTTGCTGCTGGATTCTCAGCAGGTATCATATCTCTGATCATTTTTGTACCAATATATAGGGTGGCTAGCTTCAGGTAGACTATAATATTTTAATCAATGCTAATAATAATAAGCATTGACGCCAAAACACCAAAACTTCATTTTTCAAGAAAATATAGGAGATAATAGAGATAATGTCCAAAAAAGCATATATGGGTAAATGCATAACATAGCTTTATATAATTTGTAACAGGAAAACCATTTAACGGTATGTATTTTTAAATGTACGATGTTGTTAAGCTTGTTGCATTGCAAAAACAAATTATTATTGTTTTATGCCGTGACATGTATTTCCCTTTTACTTCTGCAATTTATGTCATCAAACTTAGCACCAGGCCGCCTAAAGAACTCGACAATTATGTATATAATGACACAGATTCTTATAATTTTTGTGACTTTTTGTACAACATATAAATGCAATCATTAACTTTCATAAACCCGAGCGGGGTGCAGTTGCACAGCAGACATAAATTTGTGGTGGTATTTTCTAAAATATTTATTTTAACTCAACTTCCTTCCAGGAATGCTTCTTAAATATATTTCTAATTTAGCATAGAAAAGTTTAAGAAAATTTGCTATTTATTGTTACAAGTTATAGTGAGTTTTGTACCTTGGGGTTCAGCTGCACCCCGCTTGGTATGTAACATTTTACACTATAACAAAGCAAATGGTGTATGCAGCAGATGAATTGGCAAAGGAAATCACGACTCGAAGAAAGAGTAATCAGTGGCCGATGGCAATATGTTTCCATCTACTGGACATTGGTGGCATCAACGCCTATTAGCTATGGGTGCTGAAAAATCCGGATTGGAAAAATCTTTTGGATAGAACAATGTTTTTGTTGAAGTTGAGACAAGAATTAATAAGGATAACTAATATTCATAGGTACCATAATGATAAGATTTACATTCCTATATAAAACAATCTATGTTGACCATTTTGTCAAAATCAAGTGTAAGTAATGAACAATCTGCTTCTGTTAATGACAGTCAGCAGCAATGTTTCTTATGTGACAGTCATAAAGACAGGAAATCCAGAAAGTTTTGTATTTGGTGCAATCAGTACATATGTGCAGAACATTCAAAAAATGTAACAGTTTGTAACAAGTGTAATAATCAAATTATTATTTAAAATGTCACAGATTCTTATATATTATATTTTTCTTTATATCATAATGATTTCAAATTATTATTTGCAAATGTTTTTATTTTTCAATGCTTACAGCATACCTATGTAAAGATATATATTTTTTAAATCAGAATGTTATTTTTGATTTATCACAAATTAAAAAAAAAATAAAGTAAGGTACATTTACACCCCACTCGGTACTTAATGTAAGTTTTTGACCACGGGCTTATGAAGGTTAATCATTGTAGTTGCCTCCTTCTCCGTCATTTCAGGTATATATATATATACAGGGTGACTTTGAAGTTGAGTCATTAATTTTCAGATAATGATTGTAGAAGGAAGATAAACCAAAATATGTGTGTAAAAATAAAAAAAAAATTAAAAAATTTTGTTTACCTTGTTTTATAAAGTATCGTCCCGACAAGTATTTCAGTGCGGACCTGTATTTGATCGTGAGGTCCCCTGTGAGGTCTTAAGTCACCTGATTCACGAGCCCGTTGTACTACATTAACAAAGGCACGAGGGGTTGGTTGCACTCGATTGGGAAACCGATCCGCATAAACATGTGCCATTTTTTATTTCGTTTGAGCCACGCAACAGATACCACTATTCACTGTCACTGACTGTATACAAATGAATGAAATAATTGTAAAAATATCGTTCCAAATTCTTTCGCTTTTTTGTTTCCGATGCGATGAACCGATACGGCGGATTATATCCGTTGTCGCCAAACACGAGCACAATATTATTATTGAGACAGGGCGGTACTCAAACTTCCAAACATTTCTTTTGATCAGATCT